GGTGACCATGTCGATATTTACGACATGTAATAAGTAGTCAAGAAGACACGATCATCCAAATTATCAAGGAGGACTTGGCCTTGCCTTGCAGTAGTAATGCTACCCCATATAAAAGTGGTTGGGACTGCCGGAATACAGAAGTAATGAATCTTCCACCTTGTGGTGTCCATGATCTATCAACCTTGCTTCTGTTAGGCCAGCAACTGATATGCCAAGATGATCCATTTAGTGTGAGATAGCAACATGATGACCATGCCTGTAAAAAGTTGCAACATACCAGGTTGCAACTTTGATAGTTTGGCAGAAATCCCAGCTATGATTGGATACATTATCATGGAATACTGCAGATGCGCCTGGCAACATCAGAGGATGCGTGTTACCAGGGGGCTTTGGCACAAACCCGTCACATTTGCACCAGGGGAAGACAGCACTGGCAGGGCAGCTGACAGTAGGACAGAGCCTTTAACCGTGGTGCTGAGCACTAAGTTACTGAAAATGTTTCTTCTCATGCAACATTTGGGGGCTGCATGAGCTTTGAAGCCAATAGAACTATGGTAATCTACCGGAGGATCTGGCTGGGTGCCTATAGCTGACCTATGGCCACCAATAATTGAAAACATTCTATGATGAGCAGTTTTGTCCTCCAAAGCTGCAAACAATTGCATTACAATGTGTATTTGAGCCAGGGCCAAGACAACCCTACTTCTCTCAACTTTTAGTCTGTTTTTTGAGAAGCTCTGTCCATTGGGAGGCAATGGCTTCCTAAAGTCACCCACCATTTTGAGGGGAACAGTGCTGAAACTGCAGGTGATAGACACAGACAAGAGGGATAAAAAGGCATAGTATTGACAGCAAAGGATGAAGTGAAACACAGAGACAAAGGTATCGAAAGGGGAGGAGAAGCTGACGGAAGATATAGGGAAGGGGAGGGCAAAGAAAGTGGGAAGTGAGTGGCAGGAAGGAGAATAGATAAGAATGGTGAATTAGAGAATTGGAGAGGAAAGAACAAGAGAGAGGAAGATCTAATGAGAAAGATGGGGAAAATTTCTAATGCTGGTGAAGTAAACTGCCACTTGCTCAGAAATTAAAGGAAGGAAAACAATATATCAGAGGTGCCTCATTGCAGTAACTGTTTACTGCAGCTGAGAATGAAGAATTCCTCTCAAGTGAATTAAGGGAACAGGTATAGAAAGCTTCTCCCCCCTCCACCTCTAGCCTGTCAAACTGCATTGGTTTTATCAGAAAGCTCCTGTTGAGCCCATCTGGTTGATGAACATTCTTATCAACTAGCAAATATAAATGACTTATGGGAATAATATTTCAATGTATAATGACACGGCTATATCTAGGATTCTTTGAAGATCTGTGTTATTAAATATTAAATATCAAAGCTGTAAATTATAGTAGCAGCTTTATATTACTAAATTAAATTCAAACAAAACCTAATTTCCTTAATCATTGACTATAATCCTCCAGGAACATATGCTATTAATTCAGTTACAAATGGCACAGAAATTGTATGACTTCAGTTAAGTTATTTTATATCAAATTCTAATCCAGGGCAGAGTCTTCAGTAAATCTCCTAGAGGGAATGTAATGCTTCTGCAATCATATTGGCTCTTTAGTGGAGAGCTAATCTTTTTATACTCTGTTTTTTCACTCCTTTAGCCATTTCCCTCACTTTCTTACTATGCTGCTATATTCTACTGTATACCATGTTTATAGAGATCTGGCTTTTTCCACACTCTTATTTGATCACTGAGGGTCAAGATTTTTCTTACTCGAAAATTGGATCAATTGTTTTTTAATATAAAATTGAATAATTCTGCATTCATTTGAACATATACTTTAACTCCACATGTTGGGTTTGTTTGGTTTTGATTTTTCATTAGGACACTCAATTGTTCAGTTTGTAGCTAAATATTTGGTAAACAGGCTGATTTCCTCTTCAAGCATCCCCTTGGGGAAAAAAACCACAGACTTCATGTAAACAGACCACTTCCAGAGTGGCTAAAGAATGTTGGTCAGATCATAAACAACAACTAGGAAAGGGTCATTAGAATTTCTGGGAGCTTATTGGCTTCTCCAGTACACTTTATTCCAGATCAGAAGGATCGACATATTTTTAAATCGACTGTAGTATATCAAGTGACAGTTGCTGATATTTACACATGGCCCAGGACAGATAATTTACTGGGCAATATGGGGCCATCCAAGAAGTTGTTCATCATTTACCTCATTATGAGGTATTGATAGGGTCCTTTGGCAGAACGATGACTGAAAAAAGGGAAAGAACAACCTATATTATACATCAGTCTGAAAGTACTGCCTTGAGAGAGAGCCTATGTCGTGGTGGAGAAAGTGTGCCTTACTGTTACGGGGAAGAGATTTTGAGGTAGCAGTTGACCAAAATCCCTTAGCATGAATGGGGCTAATAACTGTAGTGAAGTATTGCCTTACAGTGATACTCTTTCAGGATATTTCAATGCAGTAGGAAGAGAAATGCTAATATCAAGGGGCTTTTGAAAAATAGGCACCGTAATGCTTCAACTTCATGTGATATTTTTATTTGACTGTGTGGGTACCCTGTACACAGCAAAACAATGACTCCAGTTACAAGGGCACACAGAGAGAACCAATGTTATTGGTGATATGCTCACCTTGCAAAACAAAATTGCACCACAAGTAACAAAAAGCATTTCTCCAAGATCTAACTACCTAGACATTCAGTTAAGCAAAACTTGAAAGTCGGTATGGTAACTACTAATAATACTACGGACACTGGACAACTTTGGATGCAAGACAAAAAAATATAATGATATGTGAGCTTAGCTCTGGAAAGTGTTGTGGGATGTTTGGTTGGCTGCATGGCCTCACCATGGTGACCAGGTGTGCAAGTATGGACTGCAACTTTTGGTTGGTATTCAAAGCTAGTGAGGTCAATCTAGAGTTGAAATCTGTCTGATAAAGAAAAAAATGTCAGCTAAAAAATTAGAATCCCATTGTAAACAGGCTTCTTTCCCAGCTCACTCTAACGCAAAGTCCATACACTGTGCAGGTTCAAAACTTGCCCCTTTCTGGGCTTTTGTTAAGAATGAAATTGACAATAAGATACAGTGCAGCTCAAAACTTCTCCTCAGGCCTGGTAGTTTCCGGGGTTCCTATTTCAGGAACTCAGCCTACACCACAGATCCTCTCCTACCTCCCTTATATCTAGATGAAGTAACATGCTATCTGCCTCAGTGGGTCAGCAGAACCCAGTTAAATCATTCTGAGCAGGAATACCACCTGTTAACGATTTCATGTACACACTGCCAGCCCATTACATTCATACAGTGTCCTTGTATGGGTTCACCCTGGGCTACTTTAGAGGTTAGGTTTGTTCTTGTTAAACATCAGCTTCAGTGCATGAACTGACACCCTCCAGATTCAAAGTGGAAGGGGGTTATAGGCTAGAGCATTACAGTGGTGGGCTCTTGATTGAGATTAATTTCCCTCTCAGTCTCAGTTGTTTTTGTTGATCCCAAAGGCACATTGCAAAGCCCATCTATTTACTCAGGCATTTCCTGAGTGGGTGCTTTAAGTGGTGGAAGTGGCTTCTTTGTTTTTCTTTAGGCAGGAGAATTTTAGTATTATTGACCTTTCCTCCCCCTTCTTCCCCCAATTCTCGATATTTGTTCTTTCTATCTGACATTTTTGTAAGGGCACCTAGCAACTGGGATTGGCACACATTATACAACTATCTAAAATAACAGGATTAACCTTTAAGGGACTTCAAGTAGCTTTTGTAAGCTATAAAGCTGTTTCTAACCAAATTGTGTTCTACCTCTCAAAACCAGATCTGGAGAGTCCATAAAAGACTCTTTTCTGCCACAGTAAAAATCTAAGAGAAAAAGTATCCTTCAGAGCTACAGATTCCAGGGTCCTTCCAATGAAATAACATGCCTTGACAGAATATTCTCTTTATTTATGCAACATTATTTGTAGTCTCCTTGTGATTCATATGGTTTGGGTTGGGATTTTTTTTGGGGGGGGGGGTGGAGGGTAGTATCAGTGCATGCTCTGATGTCTTAAGCTGAAAGAATCCAATGCTCTGAATTAAAAATACACGCGCACACACACCACTGCTCTGGTAAGAGTCACAAACTGTTGCAAAAATGTTTGCTTACGTCTAGAAGAACACGGGATATGTAAAATCATCAGATAAGCTAAAGAGTCAGACCATTAGGGAATCAGAACAAACTACAATGGACCCGAGTCTCTGCTTTCATGCTGCAGTTTTACACCCAAGTGTCTCAGTTGAAATCACTGAAGTCACATGGGTGTAAAACTGGACCACAATGATTCAGTCTAATGTTTAGCTTTCTTTTGGGAAACTTTTCTTGCGTGTTATGCAGTGTAAATAAAATTATTCTCTATAATAGAGAAAGTTTACCGTGTACATTAAAGCCACTTCACTTTACATACTATTTCTATGGAAGTTCAAGGAACAAGCAAAAGCAAGGATATTCAGAGTTAACTGGCACAACATTCAGACTTTTGTGTATTTTTCTATTTCTCCCTAATGGCATGAGGTAAGGCTAGAAAGTCAGCCCAGATTTTAGCTCGAGTTCTGTATATTCTTCCTTTAGCTGCTTTGTCAGCGTGCTGAAATTATTTTGCTAAAGCAATCTTTATCAGGAAAGAGGGTGGGGGGCAGGTTGTACAACTCCAACTACAGAAGGTGATTCAACTGGTAATTTTTCTAACGTCTTTTGCCCTTTGATATAAAATGAAACAACAGCAGCAAATGGAGAAAAGGGATGAAAGCAAAGGGATGAAAAAAAAACCCATCAGATGCAAATCTATAACTTTTCTAGTCACTGACTGGAGGATGGGGGTGGAGGGGAGAAAGGAATCCTTTATGTGCCTGTGACTCAATGAGATCAGCCAGTGCTGTGTGGAGTCCTGCATTGGACAGCACTATAAAAGCCTGGTTTTGATTTTTTTTAAAGAGTTTTCAGGAAGTCTGGGGGAGGGGCAATGCAGTTTTTTTTTGTTATACTGGGCCCCTTTGTCGAGATGGAACAAGAGGAAATGTCTATTTGCTTGTGGTGCATACACATATCAGCTATTTCCAGGGAAACTTCCCATCGCCTGTAAAAGGCACTGGGCCCCCGCAGTACTGGGAGAGGGGGTGGGGGGCCAGCTGAGAATGGAGCTGCTGGTGCTGCTCAATGCCCTGGTTACAAGGCTGCTCTTTGTTCTACACTCTCTGATCGGGGTTTGGAGGGTGACTGAAGTGAAGAAGGAACCCAAGTTCTGGCTGCTGGCATTGCTCAACCTCCTCCTATGCCTGGAAACTGGGCTCACCCTCAAGTTTAAGCAAGGCAAAGGCTACAAATGGTGAGCATATCCCTTTGGCTCCTTCAGGGTGTCTTTTGGCTCTTTGCATATACACTTATTGCAGATCTGAGGCTCACTGTAGCTGGGTTGCTATTTTATTTCAGAGCTGGGACTCACTTTAGCTCTGCTACATAAGCTGTTCTTGCTTTGTCTGTGTTGAGATTTCAGAAATATTTGCATCAATTACTACAGTAGGTTTGTAGATGGGATTTGGGGGGGCAGTAGGGTTCTGGACAAGCCACTGCAAAATCCCAAAGCTTTTTAAAAGGGTAGTTTGCATCAGGCTCTTTGGAGATCAAACTTTTCTCAGGGAAAGCATTGGAAAATGTGAGAGTTTCATGCAAGGCATTTTTGTCTAGTGCTGCTGATCTAGAGTGCTGAAATAGCTAGGAAGAAAAACTACATAACTCCTTTAGATTTTGCTATAATCTGCACAGATAGAAAATCTGGGTGCTTTGTGAGCAACAGCTTGTCAGGTAGCAACTGTGCATAGGGCAAAAATCCCAGAGAAAGCAGGCTGCTCCATGCTATAGTTCCAGCAACCTCCTCCTTCTGCTAGTCTCACTGATAGCCACAGTTTTCCTGGAACATTATTCCTCATCAGTGCTGGCTGCAACAATGATTACCCTGAACTGACAATCAACAAATAAAGATGTGTACAAGCCACTGGCTTGGTATGCTGTAGATTCTGCTCAGTATTTCAGTTTCTAATCGGTCTGAAGTTAAATATGGGAGCTACTGCATTGAAAATGTTTCAATATAAATGAATGTGGGTGAGAGACAAAGATTCCTTAAAAACATACCACAGTTTGCCCAAGGACAAGGGTTTTACATGTGTTTAGAAAGTGCTCACACAAACAGGATTACTTTGCTTCTGTCCATATCCCATGTGATTCATTAATCTAAAGCAGGGGTGGGCAAACTTTTTGGCCCGAGGGCCACATCTGGATGGGGAAATTGCATGTAGGGCTGGAGCAGGGGGTTGGAGTGTGGAAGCGGGTGCAGTGTGCAGGAAGGGGCTCAGGGCAAGGGGTTGGGGCAGAGGAGGGGTGCGGGGTGTATGAGGGTGTGCAGAGTGTGGGAGGGGGCTCAGGGCAGGGGGTTCGGGTGCAGGAGGGATGCGGGCTCTGGCCTGGTGCCACTTACCTGGAGCGGCTCCAGGGTGGCAGCAGTGCATACCGGGGCCAGGGCAGGCTCCCTGCCTGCTCTGGCCCAGCAGCAGTCCCGGAAGAGGACAGCACCACATCCCTGTGCCTCCTGTGGTAAGGCAGGGCAGAGGGCTCCACACGCTGCCCTCGCCTGTGAGTACCTTCCCCGAAGCTCCCATTGGCTGTGGTTCCCCATTCCCGGCCAATGGGAGCTGTGGGGGGCGGTGCCTGCAGGCGAGGGCAGCACGCAAAGCCCTCTGCCCCTCTCCTCCCGCCCCCAGGGCCACAGGGACGTGGTGCCAGCCGCTTCCAGGAGTGCTGTGGGCCCATGGGGCCATAAGGGTGGCAATCTCTGACAGGCTGGATTCGGCCTGTGGGCTGTAGTTTGCCCACCCCTGATCTAAAGAGTGAGCCAAATCAACAGCTCTATATAAGCAGAGGTAAAGTTTTTGCATCTGCCAGTATTATTATAGATCTTCCGTTTGTAGAAACTCAAGCCACATGTCCCTGAAAGTAAACAAACAGGTAAAAAAAGAAAGATAGTTTTATGATAATAAATGCTGACACCATTGTGTGAAATGTTATAAAAGTCCAAAATATTATTGTGAGGCAAGCCACAAAATTTTCACAGTCTAAACTCAAATATCCTCCTAGTACTAACGCGTCTTGTACTTTTTAAATAATGCAGTAACTGTTTAGTAATTATAGGAATCAAAATACATGTTTATTATAAAGAAGCCGTGTCAGAACATCCTATTTTTGTCAACATCAGCAGCTATGCAGAGGAATATTTTGCACATCTGTTTTCAGAAAATTCAAAGAATAGTTTTAGCTGTGCAAATAAGTTCGGATTCAACAGAGGTCAGAAAAAAGTCTTGGGGAAAACAAATTTACTCAGGAGCTAGAGCGATCCTGCAGAAATGTTTTTTAAAAACTGGACCCAATCCTGCACTCTGTGACTTCACTGGGAGTAAGATCAAGCCTGATAACAAGAAGGTGTCTAGATATTTCTTTTTCTTTCTACCAGGGAGGTGCTCGACCCCTGCTCCATTCCAGGCTCGCCCCCACTCCACCCCTTCCTCCAAGCCCCAACCCCGCCTCACCTTGCCCCGCCCCACCCCTGCCTTTTCCCACCCCCTCCTCCGAGTGCGCCCCATCCCTGCTTCTCCCCATCCCTCCCAGTGCCTCCTGCACACTGCGAAACAACTGATTGCAGTGGGCCTGAAGCACTGGGGGAACGGGGAAGAGTTGATCAGTGGGGCCCCCAGCAGGTGGGAAGCACAGCAGGAGGGGGGAAGCTTGGCTGCCACTGGGTGCTAAACACCCGCTAATTTTTTTCCATGGGTGCTCCAGCCCTAGAGCACCCATGGAGTCGGTGCCTATGCCACTAACACTCTCTCTTTTTGTCCTATGACTGCAGAGGTGTTAATGGAACACTTTACCTTGAACAGTCCCTTAGAATATCCGCTAACTGCCTATGCCAAACACTCTGCTCCGCCTTGCATTTAGCTGTGTCACTGAGAGTACCTTTCCCAGATCTGAAGAGCAGCTCTCTGTGGCTCAAAAGCTTGTTTCTCTCACCAACAGAAATTGGTCCAATAAAAGATATTACCTCATCCACCTTGTCTTACAGGAAAGATAGGTAGCCATCATGTCTCTGGCTAAGATTGTCAAATATACTAGTTGTTTTCCATTTTATACCTGCTTCATGTTTCTAGGGTGGAAATTAGAACTACTTCACTCTCAAGATATGACTACACTTCCATCAGTCTTCTAGCTGCATCTATACCAGGGATTAAGTTGACCTAACGACAGTGCTTGGAGCGCAAAATTTTTCCCAGCCCTGAGGGACACAGCTAGGTTTATCTATTTTTTAAGTGTAGACCAGGCCTTATTTTGCTCTCTTCTGAAATGATCTAACTTAAAAAAAAATTGAATCAATGACACTGAAATGAAGTAAAAAAATAAATACATTTAAAAAACCAAGGAGTAACTGGGTAGTTTTGAAGGCAGTAGCATTGGGTGTTTGATTGAGCCATTTTATGGCAGTTCAGAAAACTGGTACTTTTCTCTGGCAGCTCTCTCTTGCTCCAGAAAATAAACTTTAGTTTAGCCCCTATGCCCAAAATCTTTAGCCCTTATAGCTGCAAAAATAATCCTTCTAACTTTTAAAATGTAAATTAGTGGAGTGATGTCTGCAGAAATCCTGAAACAATAGCTCTGCTCGTCTCAATCTGTGTTAACTATGAAATCTAACCATGATTATTTAAGTGAGAACATTGTTAACTATTTCACTGCTGACCAAAGCATCAAAGAAAAAAAAAGGAACTGGTCATATTGTGAAGATCTGCACACAATCTCATTTTGATGTCACAAGGGAGTAGAGCTCAGACTGTGGGTGGAGCAGCTGGACTGACTGCAAGCCAAAAAACTGAGCAGCTGTAGCAAGACCACTTAAATTGCAGAGCAACAGAAGGTGAGGGGCTGTCACCACAAAATCAATTTGAGCGAAAAAAGGCTGCATTAGGGAAATACCTTAACAAAAGTGTAGTAGAGGGGCTAATGTTTCCTATTATATCTTTAATTTTGCTGTCACATCATCATGGAGAAAAGATAGTTAAGGCTGTTTCAAGCAGTTTCATGTGACTTCAGGATTTAGTAATCAGGAGTAATGATAACCAAGTAAGTTTCCTCAGGCTTCTCCTTCACCCATGAAGTCAAGGGGAGTTTTGTCATTAATTTTAATGGGAGTAGGATTAGATTCCTAGGGTTGGAATCAGTGCCCCCGGAAGTCAATGAAAAGACTCCAATCCCTTCATGAGGCTTTGGATCAGGCTCATTCAAAACAACAACGTCGGACCTAACTCCTGGTCCAAAAAATGACTATGAAGAAAGTATTGACTTGCATTTTACTGGGAAACCGTAGCAACAAACACAAGAACCAAAAAAAGGGAGAAGTGTGCGTAGATGGTATGATAAAATTCCTCAGCGTTCTTGGAAAACACGGCCAGCTCAAGAAGCTGAATGCCACAAGTGTCATCAAAGCAAGCAGAGGTGACACAAAGTGATAGAGAAAACAGAGAGATCCACAACAAGAAAAGGAGAATTTGTGGCACCTTAGAGACTAACATTTATTTGAGCATAAGCTTTCGTGAGCTACAGCTCACTTCATCGGATGCATTCAGTGGAAAATACAGTGGGGAGATTTATATACATAGAGAACATGAAACAATGGGTGTTACCATACACATTGTAACGAGAGTGATCACTTAAGGTGAACTATTACCAGCAGGAGAGCGGGGTGGGGGATGGGGGGGGTGGAAAACCTTTTGTAGTGATAAATGAAGCTGGGCCATTTCCAGCAGTTGACAAGAACATCTGAGGAACAGTGGGGAGTGGAGGCGGGGGGGGGGGGGAGGGGAATAAACATGGGGAAATAGTTTTAACTTTGTGTAATGACCCATGCACTCCCAGTCTCTATTCAAGCCTAAGTTAATTGTATCCAGTTTGCAAATTAATTCCAATTCAGCAGTCTCTCGTTGGAGTCTGTTTTTGAAGGTTTTTTGTTGAAGAATTGCAACTTTTAGGTCTGTAATCAAGTGACCAAAGAGATTGAATTGTTCTGCAACTGGTTTTTGAATAAGTCTTGACGTCTGATTTGTGTCCATTTATTCTTTGACGTAGAGACTATCCAGTTTGACCAATGTACATGGCAGAGGGGCATTGCTGGCACATGATGGAATATATCACATTGGCGGATGTGCAGGTGAACGAGCCTCTGATAGTGTGGCTGATGTGATTAGGTCCTATGATGGTGTCCCCTGAAGAGATATGTGGACAGTTGGCAACGGGCTTTGTTGCAAGGTTAGGTTCCTGGGTTAGTGGTTCTGTTGTGTGGTTGCTGGTGAGTATTTGCTTCAGGTTGGGGGGCTGTCTGTAAGCAAGGACTGGCCTGTCTACCAAGATCTGTGAGAGTGATGGGTTGTCCTTCAGGATAGGTTGTAGATACTCAATGATGCGTTGGAGAGGTTTTAGTTGGGGGCTGAAGGTGATGGCTAGTGGCGTTCTGTTATTTTCTTTGTTGAGCCTGTCCTGTAGTAGGTAACTTCTGGGTACTCTTCTGGCTCTGTCAACCTGTTTCTTCACTTCAGCAGGTGGGTATTGTAGTTGTAAGAATGCTTGATAGAGATCTTGTAGGTGTTTTTCTCTGTCTGAGGGGTTGGAGCAAATGCCGTTGTATCTTAGAGCTTGGCTGTAGACAATGGATCGTGTGGTGTGGTCTGGATGAAAGCTGGAGGCATGTCGGTAAGTATAGCGGTCAGTAGGTTTCCGGTATAGGGTGGTGTTTATGTGACCATCGCTTATTAGCACCATAGTGTCCAGGAAGTGGATCTCTTGTGTGGACTGGTTCAGGCTGAGGTTGATGGTGGGATGGAAATTGTTGAAATCATGGTGGAATTCCTCAAGGCCGCCTTTTCCATGGGTCCAGATGATGATGTCACCAATATAGCGCAAGTAGAGTTGGGGCATTAGGGGACGAGAGCTGAAGTGTCGTTCTAAGTCAGCCATAAAAATGTTGGCATACTGTGGGGCCATGCGGGTACCCATAGCAGTGCCGCTGCTTTGAAGGTACACATTGTCCCCAAATGTGCAATAGTTATGGGTGAGGACAAAGTCACAAAGTTCAGCCGCCAGGTTTGCCGTGACATTATCGGGGGTACTGTTCCTGATGGCTTGTAGTCCATCTTTGTTTGGAATGTTGGTGTAGAGGGCTTCTACATCCATAGTGGCCAGGATGGTCTTTTCAGGAAGATGACCGATGGATTGTAGTTTCTTCAGGAAGTCAGTGGTGTCTCAAAGATAGCTGGGAGTGCTGGTAGCGTAGGGCCTGAGGAGGGAGTCTACATAGCCAGACAATCCTGCTGTCAAGGTGCCAATGCCTGAGATGATGGGGTGTCCAGGATTTCCAGGTTTATGGATCTTGGATAGCAGATAGAATACCCCTGGAACCCCGACCGGATTTGTGCGGATTTGTTTTTGTGCTTTTTCAGGGAGTTTCTTGAGCAAATGGTGTAGGTTTTTTTGGTAACCCTCAGTGAGATCAGAGGTAATGGCTTGTAGAAAGTGGTGTTGGAGAGCTGCCTAGCAGCCTCTTGTTCATATTCCGACCTATTCATGATGAGGACAGCACCTCCTTTGTCAGCCTTTTTGATTATGATGTCAGAGTTGTTTCTGAGGCTGTGGATGGCATTGTGTTCTGCACGGCTGAGGTTATGGGGCAAGTGATGCTGCTTTTCCACAATTTCAGCCTGTGCCCGCAGAAGCACTCTATGTAGATGTAACAAACAAGGTTACAGAACTTTCAGTGTGAGTGACATGCATATCTGGCCAGTGTCTTTATAAACAGTTTTAGTCCATGTTAAAGGTTTCTTTGGGGAGGACACATTTGTTTTGGTTCAGGATATTTCTACCCTTGTACTTACACAGGTGTAAAAGTAGTTTGAGATCAGAGTCCGTGTGTAACTCAGTGGAGTGACTCCTGATTTACACCAATGGTTGAGATCAGAAAGAGGGCCTTCAGCAAGAGATTTTTATATACCCACTTCCATGCAGAACTGAGTGGGCAAAATACATGAATTAAAAGAGAAACTTTCATTTTGTTTTTGAAAAAGATTTTTAAACAAACCTAATCTTTGAGAAGTTTACTAGTAAACCAGTATTAAGACATACATGTATTGATTGCCTTAGGAATTCAGTGAGAATGGCAGCTGTTAAAGTGTTGGTTGCAGTTACCCCTCCCTTTTGTATTCCATATGGCAGAACTCACAAAACACTTATTAAATACAGTTCACACTGAAAAGTAACATTCTGAATGTTCCACTCAGAAAATGGTAGGATATATGTGGTGCTCATACAGTGTTGTAACCTAAGCTATCTTTTTGTTTTCTTCACAGGTTTTCTCCAGCAATATTTTTATATCTGATTAGCACAGTACCATCATTATGGCTACTGGAAACTCATCGTGAAACTCAGGTATTTCTTGTGGTCCTTGAAGGAAATATCTGGAAACTGATTCCTTTATTCATAGTCTGCCAGGTCTTATTCCTATTCTTCATTCCATTCTCTGGAGACTCTACCAATCCAGCTCCAACTCTAGTAACATCTTTTGGTAATGTTGAATTGGCAGCACTTCATTACATTTGATTTAATGAAACTCACTACTTGCCAGGCTGACTGAGACCAATCTCTTTGGTATCCTGCTGATGGGAATGGGACTGGAAGTATCAAGATAAATGATATACAGCCATGCACCTCTAGGTTACTGGTCTGAACCCAACTTAGGCTGGCAATGGCGTTACTGTCAGATAGCTGCTTGGTGGCTTAGGTAAAATACAGTACTGGTTCCAGTCCAGTTCTTAGCAGACAGGTACCATGGTCCCACCTAAGTCAAGGTTGAGGCATATTTGCCCACTATTGTTAGGAAGATTACATAGTCACTGCCAACCCTGTACTCCTGATGGATGATATTCACCCCCTTTGTCCCACTTTTTATCCCTATTTGAGGGTTTAAGTAGAGTTAAGTGATGCATAGGCCTCCTGCTGGCCCTCTGACCAGAGATGTACTGACTTCTGTGCTTTCTGATTAAATAATGGAGCCAGTCTCCAGAGCTACTACACATGTGATGAAGCAGACAGGGACAGGGCCTGCCTGCAGGAAAGCTGGATTCTAGTCCTAGCTCTGCTGTTGATTCCCTTTGTGACTTTTGGAAAGCCACTTTTATCTATGCTTTATTTTCTCTTTTAAAAAAAAGATACTTATACTTACCCCTTTTTGTAAAACATTTTGAAATCCCTGGATTAAAGGTGTTCTATTAAGGCTAAGTCCTCTTGTTATTCATGAGGATTATGAGAACGTTCCATTTCAAGAGTGGAATCCTCAGCTGCACCAAGGAAGAGCTAGGGGTAGTTGTGAGTGGGTGGGGGAAGCTGCAAATGAGTCAACTGCAGCTTTCCAATCCTAAAGCCAATTCTATGCCAGCTCCAGCCCTAGTCAGTATAGTTCAGAGCAGCATTAAGGTTCCCTCTTATCTTTGATGCACCCCCTATGCCAGGTAGGGGGGAACAACAGAGCATAGAACAAGGCTAAATCAGCCAGCTCTTAATCAGCTGATGATTCCTCAGTGTTGGATGATTGTCATCTCCCCACTTAGAGCATATTTAAGTCCCCTTAGCACTGCCAGAGTGGCACAATGGGGCTTAGCATGGATCAGGATTTAGCCCCAAGGGTTGCATTAGAACTTCCTCAGAAGAGCCTGAGAGGATCGTTAACAGAAAGCAATAGAAAGAAAATGAATAAGTTTGATTAATCAAATACAGAGCCTCATTTTCTCCTCTGAAACATTGTTAGATCACAGAGAAACATTATCAAATATTCAAAATTGCATTTGCACTGAGATTGCCTGAGGCTCTTTCTAAACACAGAAGCAAGAATTTATTGTCTTCATGTTTGGCACATCTTCCTAAACATTTGTGAACAGGTAAAGTGGATATTGAGAACATTTGTAATTGTTAACTCTGGGCTAAGAAACAGGCTAATTCTGTAGTCAAAGGCAGGAGATTATGTCCCAGAATGATGTTACAACATGGCATACTTTGTATTTTATTGATATACTGCTCCTCTGAATTAAAGTGGGAGTATATCAAGTAAATAGTTCAGGTTATTCTTGAAGAGAAGGGTAGAGGATTCTGAAAGTACATATGACCTAATGGATTCAAACCAAGACCTCAGGGAAGGACATCAGTCTTGTTAATAATTAGGTCAAAATGTAGCACCCAGTCACAAGTACTACTCTTTATAATAAAATATCTTGTGCCTTTTCTTAATAAAAGGATCAAGACCAGGCAATTGTGCAACAACTATAGCACATTTATTGAATACACAATAAAAAGGTTTTGTGGTAACTGAGGCAGTAAATACTATTAAAGATTTTGCTCTCAGATTGAATCCCTGAAAGTAAACATTAGCCCTTCCCCCCCCAAAAAGTGGTAATTATTTAGGGCATAATTTAATATGTACTCCCCTACCACTGAAGGGCATGCAAGTTTTGCTTCCATAAGTATCACAGGAATGAGCATAACTAATATATATATATATATACACACACACACGTGTATATATATCAGATATGTGAAATATCGACAGTGCCTTATATTATTTAAAGCTGCGGTTCTCAAACTTTTTTTTTCCCCACTGACCACTTGAAAATTGCTGAGGGTCATGGCAGACCACTTAATGATCTTTCCAAATGTTGTTTGAACCATTAGTTAACTATTGTAAAGCGCTCTGGATTTATATTTAAAAAAAACCTTAATAATAGATGTTTTTTGTTCTAGAAATAAAAGCCCACAACTCATATGTTAATATCAGTAGTCTAACCTGTCTAATGCGATGGATGTGCCCTCTCTTCCCCGTCACGGCAGCCACAGAGCTGAGGCTGGGAAGGAGGAGGGTCTCTCTCTCTCTCCCCCACCACAGCAGCCCATGAGCTGAGGCTGGGAAGGAGGGGGGCCTCTCCCCAGCAGTCACAGCCCTGGAGCTGGGGAAAGTTGCCTCTTTCTCTGGCCGCTGCAGCCCTGCACAGCCCAAATTCCCCCCACCCCCTCTTCTCACCCCACTGCCCCCTCTTCCCTCCCAAGGCCACCACCTCACCTTATATGTGTCTTCTCCAGGGTCCAGGCACCTAATTAGTGGAGCCACACCTGCGAGCACTATTCTTTTGTGTGCAGCCGCCCAGGCATGCACCTTACAGGGAACTATCTGCAGAACACCTGAATGGAGCTCACCGACCACAGTTTGAGGACCTCTGATTTTAAAACATGTTGGGATGCACTTTTTTAATAGAGGGTTATGGTATAAAGTCAGATTGAACTATGTTGAGTAAAAAAAATTAGTCAGTAAAATCAGTGAATTAAATAGCAAGGTAGAAAACTGACAAATTTTATAATCTGTAAAAACACAGATTTGAGACATTCCTGTTTTCTTCCTAAAGCTTAAGGTCCCAATTGAGCAAGCCACATTAGAATGTGTTTAAGTGCTGTGCTGAATAGAGAATGACTTAAGTATATGCTTAACTTTATACACATGCTTCAATGCTTTGAATCAGGCTCACAGAGAGCTCACTCATACTCCACGTGTACTTGAGCAACAGCCAGGTTAAAGGTAAATTTCCATTCAGTACAAAAGAAGTTACAAGATGTGCCAACCAAATATTTATTTTAAACAACCCTAAACAGTTTAAGAAGCAACCAAAATCCACCCCACGGACAGAACTAGTGCTTTGTACTACATATGGGCAAAGTTTTGTGGATGAATGTGTTTATTAAAAAACGCAGCTTTAGGATGACAAACTATTTGCAAATTTGGGTAGAATATGGCAAATAATTTCAGATGAAAAAAAATGAAGTGTCAAAACATTTTGTTTTAGCTTTTTTGATATGAAACATTTTCACTTTTCATTTTGAAGTGATATTTCAGTAGAAGTTTAGCTAGATTTATCTTTAAGAAGGGGTAAAAAACACCCAAAATCTAAACAAAAGAAAAATGTAATTTGGGGTTTTTTTTGTTGTGGCAAGAAAAAAAATCTAAAAGTTCAATTTTGAGTTAACCTGAAATGAATTTTTTATTTTGGATTTTTCAGTTTGGCCACCAAACTAAAAAAACAATTGTTTGCTCAACTCTGCTCTGTATATTTAAGTATGATTTTAATGCTAGATCCAACTTGATATATCATCCTACTAATAAAGTAAATGTTTGTTTTTTCATCACTTGCCCTGACATTTTTGCGGGAGACAAAAGACTATATTTAAACAAGTGTCCTCTCCTTATGTCATGGGTAGGGCCCTATCAAATTCATGGCCGTGAAAAACTCATCGTGGACCATGAAATCTGGTCTTTTGTGTACTTTTACCCTTTACTATACAGCTTTCGCAGGGGAGACCAGCATTTCTCAAACTGGGGGTCCTGACCCAAAAGGAGTTGCAGGGCGGGAGGGAGGGGGGAGGAGGAGTCGCATGATTATTGTAGGGCGGTCATGGTATTGCCATCCTTACTTCTGCACTAGTGCACTGCCTTCAGCGCTGGGTGGCCAGAGAGTGGCAGCTGCTGGCCAGGCACCCAGCTCTAAAGGCAGCACAGAAGTAATGGTGGCAATACCACGACGCACCCCTCCAATAACCTTGCAACCCCCCCCACCACCACCACAACCCTCTTTTGGGTCGGGACCCCTATAATTACAACACCATGAAATTTCAGATTTAAATATTTGAAGTCATGAAATTTGCAATTTTTCAAAATCCTATGACCTTGAAATTGACCAAAATGGACCATGAATTTGGTAGGGCCCTAGTCACGGTCCAGCTTCTCTTCACGTTTAATCCTGCAAGCAAGTCATACTGCAGAATTGGCAGCATCACATGTATTTCCATAGCAGCAGACTAGGAGGGTCTCCAGCATCAACTTCATTCTTTACAGTATAGCCCCATAGGTGCGTCTGTTGCTTCAGGGGGCCCAATCCTGTGAGGTACTGAGCACTCCCTTGGAGTTTTCAAAACTCTCAACTCCAACAGAAGTCAGTGGCAATTGAGGGTACTCTGCCCCTTGAGGCACTGGGTCCAGAATAGAGTTGGTCAAATGACACTGTGAAAAGTTTATTAGTTGGCCCTTAATTCCATTTGCAAACTGTTTGCAATCCCAAAAGGAATTTTCTGAATTAGTCTATAGGGTTTTCACAAGCTGTAGCAATTGCTCCTTGCAGTATTAAAATCTAGAATTTGGCCTATAACTGATCACGATATGGTTTCTGTTCCTTGATTGGATCACTTAATGTTTATAAATACAGTAGAACCTCAGAGTTATGAACTGACCGGTCAACCACACACCTCATTTGGAACTGGAAGTACATAATCAGGCAGCAGCAGAGACCAAAAAAAGAAGCAGCAGCAAATATAGTACAGTACTGTGTTAAATGTAAACTACTAAAATAATAAAGGGAAAGCAGCATTTTTCTTCTGCATAGTAAAGTTCAAAGCTGTATTACGTCAACGTTCAGTTGTAAACTTTTGAAAGAACAACCATAACGTTTTGTTCAGAGTTACAAACAACCTCCATTCCCGAGGTGTTCGTAACTCTCAGGTTTGACTGTAGGAAAAACATGTGAAGAAATCATAGGGATGTTGAATCTCATTTTAGGAAGAAAAAAAAGTAGGAAATAAGTTAGCCAAGGAAGTTTGAGGATTTTAAAAATTTCTTCCTATCCTTTTTTGCACAATAAAGAGAATTACATCTAGCTACGTATATAGATCCAATACTGAAAAATAGTTGAGTTCCTTCCTGACAAAGAAGGAAAGATGTAAGCCAGATTTATTCACTGCCTGCCAGGCTTTACATTCAATTTTCTTTTTCCTGACATTTCACCAATTGCAGCAGGAGTTTCCCACTAAATAAGTGTCATATTCCCACTAAATAATTGCATGTATATAGTGGATAGATGGGCTGGGCGAATAGCTCTAGTGCCAATGCTCCCATTCACGCTTGTACGTACTTTGTAAAATGAACAGCTCTTCCCCAAACTTCCATGTGAACACACACCAGTTTCGTAAATATTCCCAGAGAACTGAGCTAGAACAAGACACAAATGTAATTGAATCAATCAGGACTCAGACTAAATGAACATGTTAACAAATATATGTGTCCACTATTTGCTCACATCTAGTCCAGAATAAGGACTAAGGAGTGCAAGTCAGGGCAGAATTCTTCAGAAGGAGAAGTCCAGCACTGCGGGAGAAAAGCTCACATTAAAACACAAATAGCTTTAGAAATAGAAAGAGGGACCCAGATAGATACGGACAGAGTAAGTTGCTTTTGCATGTATGGTCTCCGTTTCCTCATCCCTACCCCAATATGACAGTTCTCACCTTGCTCACCAGGCTGCAGTTTGATGGTGCCAGGAGCTGCTGAGATACCTGCTAGGGTGGGGGAGAGGGAGGAGCTCTCTCAAGTGGGAACAGCTGAGGCACTGTTCCACATGTTCCCTCTCCTTTTCCTCTCCACTTTCCTTCACTGTGGTGGGGCTGCTGCTGCTTCTTATCCTCCCATCACTTCCTTCCACCTTCTGCATCTGAGCCTGGGTTCTGGACCTGTCCCACCTACTGCGCTGCGTGTCATGTACATGGCAGGTTGCTGGGCTGCTCCTAGCAGCCCAGGCTCCTGTACCAGATACAGACTGAGCTTCCTTCTCAGAGCTAAACACCAGATGCGTTCAGTACAAGATCCTTTAAAGTTCTGCCAGGTATGGCTGAAGTTAGCTTAGATAAGATATTTTACACACTGTGCCACCTAGTGGCTGAATAGTGTACTACAGTTTAGTATTCCACTACAATTCAGGGTGGTGCTATGGCTCTGTGATTGGCTCCCATTTGGTGACAATGCAGAGTGAAGAGATTGATACAGCTTTCTGTCCAGATGGGGCAGCCATTGTGGACTCCCTGTTTCAGCCTTCCTCTTAATCTACATGCTGGATCTCTGGTGATGGAGTCTGGCAGGGATTTTTCCCACATGGCAAAACTGGCAAAGTGCTGGGTGGGTTTTTCACCCTCCACCTGGCATCCAAGAGGTCTGGGCTCAGGGGTTACATTACACTTGGTGCAACTTTGGCAGTTCTAGTGCCATAGATAAATTAAAAATAGTCTGATTCAAGCTCCCTGTAACCCAGTGGGTTGCCTGGGCATTGACCCTGAGCACAGTCATGCATAGTGGGGTTAGCCTCTATGTCCTGCATAGTTTGTGGCTCCTACCCCAAGTGGGAGGAAGGAAGTGTGTTGTGACTCTAGTTTCTAGTCACCATTCCTTGGCAAGCTTGAGGGTGTAGAGGGGGCATGGCCTTCACACTCACCCTCAGGTTATAGTCCCACCCAGGCCAGTGGTGTCTGTTGAGATGTGTACTGAAACAACCCTCCCGGGTACATTGGAGTCATTAACCCAATTAGACAATAGCTTTAAATAAAATTGCAGCCTCCTCATTTAACCACATTGTGTTCGTGTTTCATTGTTTTGTTCATGTCACATGTCCACAGTAATGCCTCTGTCTACCTTCCGTCTCATAAGATACAAAACATCCATGGTTCTTTTCCCTTGTTTATGTTAAACTCTCTCCCTGTGAAACTCCCCACCCCCATCCCACCACAAATAACCCAAACAGCTAACCTAAGAGCTTTTTTCTGAATTTCCAGGTTATTGGGGAAGGGGCTCTATTTACAGCTTTTGTCCACAATTACTGCACAGTGGTACCTGAGGTGCTTCACTTATGCTTCATTCTCAGTAAAGGGGAAAAGTGGAACCTCAAATTCAGGTATTTTTTGGAAGATGTTGCCTTTGTACTAGCATGTAGATCCCTAGCACTCCCTGGAAAACTGTCTGTTTGGTGCAGAAAAAGTTATGGTGGGATTCTTATTTAGGCACCTAACTTCCATTAAAATCAATGGGAGTTAGGTGCCTACTGTACATACCTTTGTGAATCCCACTCTTAACTCCTATACTGATGCGATGAGCATGCTAGAAAACAATCATCCGGGCCTGTCTGGCAGAAATATGATGGGATTAAAGTCTTCAATAACTGAGGAGTTTGATTTTCTAATTAGCTTTGTTTTTGAGTAGAATGAAATGAGATGCTTAGGATTGTTCGGAAGATAGATTTTTGAAATCATATCCAATCTGCTCCAGGGACAATAATAAGAGTCACTGAATATCTGCTCCCTGCATCACAGTAGTTTCTTTAATCACCGCAGCCCCATGCAATGAGGATTTGTTTACTGAAGTTCAGTAACTTCAAGGTTTTTTTGCCTTCATTACATTCTGTCAGAGCTGTATGTACTCAAAGAGTGCAAAGAGGTGCTTTTCTGCTCTAAGGGGATACACAGCAGCACATAGCTTTGTTTCTTAATTAGTCCTGACATTTCACCAATTACAGCAGGAGTTTCCTTGGAAGATAGAAATAAATAGCCTCTTGCCAGAAAAAATGGTTTATCTTTTCTTCCTCTGAGGGATCTTATGGAAGGAGAAATGAAACAACCAGAATAATTACAGACAGGTCCCCTGGATAAGAGAAAGTTGTCTTGAAAATAGTCTCTTCCCCCCCCCCCCCCCCCGCAAAAGCATAGGCCACACCTGTCTTCAGATTAGAATGCAGCTGTCAGCCTTAACCCTGATTTACCTTCTAATCAGAGGGAGCCTGACTGGATATTTTTGGAACCATTGGTGGCATATTACAGAGAGCTACAGCATATTGCATTATGAAGTGAAGTCAAAACTTTACAGAGGTTTCCCTACCATATAGCAAATGGTGTTGAGTCCAGTTCTAGAGTGAAATTCACCTCAGCACTAGACCCATGCACCACTTAAGTCTTCAAAATGGGGAATGCTGTGTTAGCCCCCTGAACAATGGAAGAATTTCACCGTTAGTGAACAGATATTTTTCTACATACCCAATGATTTTGGGGTAAATAAAAAATTACTAATTCAGTAAAAAGTCTTTTTTTCTACCCATTGCAGACACCCAGAAATCATCTATCCTTCTAAGATAACGTTGGATTTTGCACCCATGCATAGAAGGTGGTCATATGTTGTATCAAACTAGGTTGTAAGGTGTCATTTTTGCAGTATTTGGATGCTCTCCTGGACAATGAAACTACAGAGAATGGAGCCAAATTTTGCTTACACTGGTGTAAATCTGAAGTAATACTACTGACATCAGTTACATTACTCCAGATGTAAAGTAGTGCAAATGAGCCGAACTGGACCAATAAAGTTAGGCACACAAACCCACTAAGATCATACAAATCCTATATCGGACATATTTGATTCTGCTAAAATATACTGGCAGTTACTAGAAAATTCAACACCACATACAATATAGAAAATCTACAATACTCTGTTTTACAAAACTGGGTAGTAATTTAGGGGCTCCCTAGCAAGTCCCTTCAAACTTATGTGAATTATGAAATAAATGAACTAATAGGATGGCACTATTGATAATCACAGAGAAAGCCACAGAACTCATAGCCCTAAAGGGAAAATGATAGTTGTACTGAAACCCCTTCCCTTTCTAAATGATATTGCATTGGAGTTTTCTGATGCAGAAAGAGAAAATGGTCAGGCTTATAGTACACAAGGGGGCGGGGGGGAAAGCTACCAGTGGTTGTGGCAGTAAATGGATACCTGTCATTTTTCTCTTGTTTCTAATATGTTTATTAAAATATGCTAATAAAAAGGCAGTTGACTAGATTCTGAACAAAAATGTTTACTGTACTACTAGAACTCTGCTGCAGTGTCTGGATCCTACACTCATACTGTATTTACTAATCCAGTAAGTCAGAGTCAAACTTCAGAAGTAAAACTAAGTGCAGTACAGTGTTGGCATTACATAGTATTTTAATACATGAATAGGTAGAACCACAGGTCTCTCAGAACTAGTTGGCTTGGAATTCACAGCACACCATCACAGAAGGTTGGGCTTCAGGAGTGACATACATTGTGGGCTTGCTGAGACTGGGATCAACATGCAAATGAGGCTCAAGTTCTGCAAATGGGGTGAGCAAGTGGCATATTACAGTTTGCTGCTGGAGTATAATGCAAGTACGGCTGAGGCAACAGGAATGGGAAATTGGGAGATTAAATATTGGAATGGAAGGAAGGAGATGTCTGTCTAGGATGAAGTTGTTGGGTGAAAATTCAAGAATTCTCCTCCAGCCCCATGATGTTTTCTGAGTGTATGATGTTTTTGTTTATTGTAGTTTTGCAATAATGAAACTGAACAAACATGGGAGAATATCAGCAACAGAGAAGACTTCAATCAATTAAAAGAGAGCACTCCCAAAAATGAGGGAGCAGATCATCATATAATTGAGTCGGTGGGATACCTTTCTCTACTCAATCTATAGACCTTATGATGTATAGGGGCACAGAGATAAGATAGCACTTTTTGGGTCTATGTAGTGAACCTTGCACAGGACAGTTTTGCAAAGTGGTGTGATGAAAATTGTCATCTATAAAAAGCCATTGGTGTAGATGGTGCTTGTTCTCTAAATGTTGTTGCTAGGATTGGTCTGAGTCTGAAGGGATTTCCTTCCTCCCCAAGAATGACAAAATTGAGTTCAACAATTTTGGAGTTACAGTGGAGCAAAGTATAACAGTTAAGTGAACAATGAGACAAGGGAAGAAAAAGAAAGATAAATCAACTCGGTCTGGCAGTCCATTGAGTGAGTCACACCAGCAGCATGAACGGGTTTGCTTTAATTCTGCTTGAAGAAAGAGCTAACATGATCAATTGAATTGAAGGTGCATTCAGTGGAGATAAGTTTTTATAGCTAGACCATCTCATGTTCCTATTGTTACAGTATTTTTCTTGTTGTTTTGGTCTTTGCAATAGGCTAGAGTTTTTGTCTCCCAGCTCTCCACAGTGTGCGAAACTGTATGGACGCTAGGACTCCACCAGACTTTTCTACTACTACTAATAATAGGGAGATGGCTTCTTCCCATTGGTGGTGAAATCACCCGTGATCAGTTGTCCCAGCTGCTGCTTATGTTTGTGGGAACTGCAGCAGACATACTTGAATTCACTAGCGAGACTTTGGAAGTAGAAAATGTAAGGTAAGTAATATTTCCTGAAGTACATCATTTGTATCCAAGGTTATACTGAAGACTTTCTTGTTCCATTTCAAGTTTTGTAATCTGTGTGAATTTGGGGTTGCTGCAACTGGATTATTCAGAGATGTCAAGAGATGGTTACTGTCTAGGACTTTTTATCTTCTTCTGCGCCTCCATGGAGGTGACAAGTAGCTCCCATCCGCTTCATAGGACGATATTCATAATGAAACATGTCACATTCATCAAAAGGAAAGGACTCAAACAACCAGGAAAATGGAGTAACTAACACATACTGTTTACAATACATACAATTAGAGCTACTCCAACTATTTATTACAAACAGAGCCTCTCCTTTGGTTAGTGATTTGTTCACAAGCTAATCTTGATTGTCTTGTAAATCAGATACTTTTCAGACTGTATGTTGTTTGCAAACAGTTTGCCGTGGCTATTCATTATCCAAGTTGCATGTTTGGTTACCTGATATGGTTTCCTCCCTGAGTGGGTGACAAGGTTTTAAAATAGGAGAGGAGAGAGTAATCTGCTTCCAATGTGAATTTTCAGATGAATAATAATTAACATGATTTAGAAACATCTTCAGAGATACTCACTTATCTGAATTTTCATAAAGAATGTGACCCCACAAATAATGGGGAACTGAACTTGGCACTTTTGTCCCTGAAAATATCCATACATTATTCTTTTTTCACTATTCAACTAAGCTGTACCTGTAACAGAAAACTTATTTAACAGCAGGGCAGGCTCTCCCTACATAACAAAGATGGTTCAAGCTCAACGAAGATGTGAAATCACCAGAAGGGTAGGGCATCTTCTCCTCATTGAGCCTCAGAATTTATTTCCATACTCTGATCACTCTTGAGTTTTAACTCTGAGGTTTGGTCTAAATCACACAGCTCAAGCAGGTGGAAAATGCAAACCAACTGTAGGGATTCCCACCAGGAGTTGCCCCAGGTTTCTCCAGAATTCCACTGGAATGACACATGAACCCACTAGCTGTACTGTTGGGCTCCAAATCCTTTTAAAAGTGACAGTGTTCTAAATAGTTTGGGGGTTCATTTAATTAGTTACTCACTTTTTTGTGTTTGTTTGTTTTTAGGCATAACCATGCTCTTGTTTATGCAATTCTTTGTGTATGGACTTGGAGTATGTTGCAGTTTCCACTTGATCTTGCAGGTTAGTATCAGCAAAACAGCTTTTTCAGAGATGAGCATGTCTCAGGGCTGTGCACACTTACAGCATTATGTGAATGAAAGTAAACACCATTGCCAAAGACTATGCTGTGGGCTTTTGGTCGGCATTTCACATCACAGAGACAATGATGCGTTATTCGAAGGAAGCTCAGCATCAGCATAGAAAAATAAGTATGCTTTCTTTTGAAGGAAGATTTATTTCAAGCTGAACTGTGATCTCTTTAATATACACTGTTTGTTTCCAGGCAAACTGGAATTGCTGCTGAATGTGTTAAATAGGAGCACCTGCTGTGATTGTGTCATTATAATGGAAAAATTGACACAACCTTAACTATAAACCCGGGGGCTAGAGCCACTCCTGGAACTAGGCTGGCTCCCACTGGGGTAGACGATGGCAAAGAGCCCCTGAGTTGGGATGTCCTCTTCTTAACATGAGGCCGGCATAGCCCATAAAGTGGATATGGTTGACTGAGAAAAGGGCATGGCCAGACACTCCCCAACTTGGTGGCTCCAGTCCACAGAGCTTCTCTGGAAACCATAAAAGTATTACGCTGCTCATCCTTGGCTTGAACACCAGGGAAAGGAGGTAGTAGAAACATCACAAGTGGTCCTACCTCAGGGTGATTTTATCCTCTTGCAGAGAGGGCTTTTCTGGTGCAGGGAGGCATAATGGACATCTCCCTATATCAGCATCTATTATTCTGACCCCTCTTTTCTGGGAGTTTACAATTCAGCTGCATCTCATGTATACCATCAGCTCAAGCAGGAATTATTTTCAACAGGTTTTTATATAAAATTGATAAAATAGCTCAATCAGTTTTTTCTTCTGGGACTTTTTCTGAAGCCATTTTCTTACAAAGGATATTAGGCTTTTTTAAATATTAAGGTTGAGGCAATATTTCCATGTTTTAATTTTTCATTTTAGCAGCTCGATGCTACAGATTGATGCAGGAGCTTTTAAGATGTGTCACATTCAGATTTGCAGATACAGATTTGCTAACAATGTATTCTTTCAAAAATAAATACCACTCTAATTCAAGAAAGCATTCAAATACCCTTAAAGGATCGTAGCATTCATTTAAATGAAGCAACATGTATGCCAGGTTTTTCCTTGTCATTGCTATTCTGTTTCTTTCCCTACATTTCACAGTGGAAAATTAAAGGAAAGAGTATATGTATGCTCTTTAAAATATTTACCATATGTGACAATTCTATTTAAGAAGGTAAGTTTGTAACGATCACACCTCTGTACAGCTGTTTGAGTGAGACACAAAAATTTTACTTTTTACGGCTGCACCACTGTGCTTTGTAACAAAGGGCTATATCAGTGCTGCACATGACATTCAGCTGCATCAAGGCAGGGTGATTCAAGATGATGATGCACAAGTGCTAGAAAATTCAGCAACTGCATGCAGAAACTTTTGTTTCTCTAATGAATTCAAATGAAATGCTCCGCTGTTCTAAGAGGTTTGCTTTCCATTCTTGACCGAATTATTTACATCCAAAGAGACAAACAATACAGTTCTTCTACGGAATGTGTCATGATTTATGATACTAATTAAATCTAAAAATTATGCAGTCTAAACAAAATAACCTAATTTCAGCGGTAAGTTTTTCATGTTAGACAACCATATTTATCATGAGTGACCCCTAGATATTATCTTGCCTTGCAGGTGCAATATCACTGTAAGCATTTTAAGTTAGCTAGCGAGACGTTTTCATCAGGTTAAGAAAGACTCGTGCATACAAGTTAAGATATACCCATGTGATTTAGTACCCATAAAACCAGAAATAGATAGCAATGACTAGAGTCATTCATACTGTTTGTAAGCACTGTACATACCTCCCATCCTGTATATCCTAACCCTAACCTACAAGGCCAGCTGTGTGAGCCATGTGCCATCACTGAAAGGAGGTTACTGGTCATACCAAATCTGTATGGTGGGTGTGTGATGTGGACAAGTGTCCAACAAGGACGAAGTGAGACCATATTGTTTTCAAGCCCTATTCAGCAAAGCACTTAAGTGTATACTTAACTGTAAGTACATTCTTAAGAGGGAAGTGCATGCTTTGCTGTATCAAGCCCTGGGCATACTTTATTTTGAACCTGGACCTGCAGGGTTGATAGTTTAGTGCACTAATAATCTACTCTACCTCTGAGCTGCCCTTTCAGCCTTTCATGTCTAGGTTTCAGAGTGCTACATTAACACAGCATGTCTTTTATTTACAGTGCAACATATTGGCTGTAAACTATCTGTGTCATCTACGAGAGTCCCCACTTTACTGCTGTGCAGACACAGTGCAGACCTGTGGAACATTGGAATCAGCCTCTTCATACAAGATGGCCCTTTCCTCGTTTTACGTTTGATACTGATGAGCTATTTTAAAGTAATCAATCAGATGCTGGTGTTTTTCACAGCTAAGAATATCTTAGTTGTGATGTTACAACTGTACCGTCTAATAGTGCTATCGTTAGACTTCCGTGCTTCCCTGCAGTATCCACCAAGCAGCCGGATAGGAGGAGTGAGCTGCTGCCCATGTGAGCCTAATGATACCACTCTCCCACCCAGCAACTCGGATACTGATATGAGAGAATGCACTGCTATTCCTCTGGAGGATTCGCCAGTCCCATCAGAATATCAGTGAACTCAACTGTTTATTCACTGCAACACCGTCTGTTTCCTGTGGCCTTTTGGAAGGGTTTGGCCTGTTTGTATTATCGTGGTTCTTACTCATCTCCCTTCCACCACAAAATGAAGTTTTGTTCTAAAAACCAGAAGACTTTGAAGCGATGTCACAGAAAGGAGAACTTTTTGATCCTGTTGATTTGCGGGGGTGGGGGGGTTCTACTACATCCTTATTATATTTATCCAGCGGGATTAGGTAGGTGTAGTTTATAGAACTACAAGATTTGAAGTTGTATGTGATGCATTAACAAACTTGGTTACTGTCTTTGGAGGCATTATGTTAAAGAATGTGCTCAGATGTATTTGTGCAGAAGGACAGACATATCAGGACAGTTACCTGAAATTGGGGAGCCTGTAACTTTGCTTCAGTTGACAGGCTGTAAAAACAGTGTGGTGAATGATATATCACAGAATTACTTCAGCAATGGCAATTGCATAGGAGTGTAAGTTGAATGGAAATAATGTGTTTCTGCTGTCACTATGACATCAAAACATTGTCCTTTCAGTGAATGTGAGAACAACTGTTTTAGAAGTTACCTCACTATTGGCTTGATTCAGTGAAAGCACCAATGACATGGAGTAGCACACAGAACCATGGAAGTCCTTTCTCAGTGGTTTTTGGGGCTTGCCTGGAACCAAATCTAAAACATTTTTAATCTGGCCTTACAGTTCACTATAGTGAAGGACGTTTCTGCCATGAGCCATATTCTATAGAGGTGCTTATCTTTCTATTACAATTAGAGATGGTCAGAATAATGAAAAAATGTCACAAAATACTTTGAAGTTTTTTCCATTTCACAGTGTTTGAAAGTGAGCTAGTACATCAAATGTCTTTTTTGAATTGCAATTGTTATGACTTTACTCAAGCATGTAGTCCCATTTAAAGCAATGGGATTGTTTGTAGAAGACAAGCAAAAGGACTTTGGCTCTCAGTTTGCATTTTATAAAGTGCCTAAACTCTGATGTATCCAATTCAGAGGCTGTCTGGTCTACTGAATATCTGAGCATCATTTTAAAAAAGTCTGAAAAAAAATATATGTTCACCAGTGCAGAGGCTTCTGCGGAAGTTCAGTAGTGAATAACATGAGGTCACTTCTCACCTAAACATATGTTACACCAATGTAACTCCACTGATTTGATTGGATTTATTCCTGATTTACACAGGTGTAATGGGATTTGAGAATCAGAGCGATGATTCCAAAAACCTGGCTAAATAACTATATTTGCACACAAATAGTAGGTGCTTTTACAACTTTCCATATTTTGAAAAGTTAATTAAATTTAAAAACATTAACAAAATGTATGAAATTTAACATGACCCAACAGATATAGTTTTCTCAACTGAAAATTTCCAGTTAAATCTTCTCATGTAATCTTTTGTGGTCTGAAAGATTAATCTGTTTATAGAAGTTAGGAATACATGAAAATTTTAGAAAAAAACCCGAGAATTTTCCCTTCGTAGCAGGCATACACTAGCTTATTATTATAGGGTCATTTATGAGTGCTGACATGATTTTAATTATTTTTAAAGGAAAAAAAGATTTGAATAATTTGTTTAAAAAACCGCAAAACATATTTTTGTTTATATTTGTGAGGTTTGTAGTGCTCATGATGATGAGGACCTGTGTTACCATGATATTTGCTCAATGCTGGATCAGGACTTTAGGTGATCTAAGAAGAGCGTGCCCAGGCATACTGCAAGCAGGAAGTCTTTCACAGTTCCTTTCAATTCAGGACAGTGCATTTCAGTAATAACCTGCAGCACCTCCTGCTCTTTTAATCTTGGGCCTCTTTTCAGTAGAAAGTGCCATTCGTTAATTGAGGGGTTTTCATGATGTTGGCATATGGAGACTAGGCCACAGCTTGCTCTGGGATTTTAATTCAGGTTTAATGGTAAAAAGCTAGAGCACTGCTGCTGCTAACCAGCTGTTCTCTCTAAAATCTTCAGCACTGAGGTGAATTTCGAATCAGTTGCTTAGATTGTATTTTGCCCTTTTGACTTAAGACTAGACCGTTCACATTCCTTTTGAAACTTTTTCCAGTTCATTGTTATACACAGGAATTAAAATATTGATGTTAAATGCATGCGTTAATTAATCTGTAATGTACAGATTTTACAGTGGCATCATCTCAGATTCATTAGTGCAATGACAAACAGCATGACTTGTGTTTTTAACTCATGATCTACGTGAGTAGGCTCAGTTAGCAACAAATTATCTACTGGGCTACTAGCCTGTAGCAGATCCCAGGGCCTCCAGGGGTTATCAGACACAGAGCCTAGTTAATATCAGGATTATTCTGTGGTAGTAGTAATCTTTCTGCTCATCAGTTGTCTCCTTTCAAGTCCTGGCAAAACTCACATTGACTTAAAAAGGATTTGGGCCCTTCAAGCTACCCCTCTTATGGCCTGATCCCAACCCTGTTAACTTTACCTGACTCACAGGTCCTTTTCTCACACTGGCCTCGGGCTATAGTAGAGATGTGTCCTCTAATGCCGCCTCTCCTCTTGGCAAGGCAAAAAGAGAGTCTAAAAAGACAAACAAGGCACTTAAAAGATGAGCTGTCTATCTTCCTATTTGCGGTTGAACATGGGTAGCAGCAGAATAATTACATTGGCTTGTACAATTCAATAATGGGCCATGGAGAAAGAGATTTAAAGTTTATATTAGTCTGAGTATTTGGCCATGGTAATAGATCTTATTTGCAAGAATCCTCTGTTTCCCTCTGCCAATTTCTTACCAGACAAATGAGAGGTTTTTCCAGCAGCCTTTGAGTCAGCTGATCTCTCTCTGAATCTGCCAGCTGGGTGGGGAGAAATACTGCATCATACTGCAGCCTTGCACAGATTTTTGCATCATGGAAGTGGTAGACTATATTTTCTTGAAGATAGGCCAGTCTCTGTGGCATATCTGAAGAACAGTAGGTGTAATGTTTTCTATTCAGGAAAAGCTACAGCTATCCTTTCATACTTGGAAAATGAGCCTTTTAAAATGGCAAGGGTTCAGAAAATTCTCCCTAGCTACTGTTCTTTCCTGAGTCAGCAGCATTTTATTACATTGCCTCTTAGAATATGTATCTAACCATTTACAATTATTTATACAGTTGTTCCCAGTGCTGTCCTTTGTTGGTTATTCTATATAGTTATCTTTACTGCCTCCTTCTTCCTTTGCTGAAATTTATTCCTCTTTCTTTTGACACTGGCTCAAATAAGCTTGTAGCTCCTGAGCCTTTAAAAAGTCATGATTGTAAAGTGTATTGAAACCTGGTTCTACTTGTTTCTGTTGGTATTTGTAAAGTACTGTTCTCTGGAAATCGGTGGAAATGGAGGAAAATGTGTAATTACTTTTTAAAAAATTCCCAAGTGTACTTTGCAAATAAAATGCAGTTACCTCAGCGAGAGCTGCCAGTTTATTATGTGAGAGCCAACGACATATGTATTTCCATTAATGATATCTTCCATGTGCTGTTTTTCTTTTCCACTCATGCTAAATTAATTATTTAGACCAGATTCTGATCTCAATCATATCAGTGTAAATCATGTGCAATAATAGTGAATTCTGTGCTATGTAGGTTCTTATACCACCCTCATCATTGTAGCATCTGAGCACCTAAGTGAAGTCACTGATGTTATTCCAGGGTTACACCATTGTATCTGAAGAGAATTTGACCTTTAATATTTATGAAGCAAGATATCTGTGTAAGCAAGTGTGTGTTCATGTACACATGCACACACTAATGTATTAAAGACACAGCTTTTATTTCATTTTACTATGACATATGAACTTGCTGTTGAAAACTCCAGATCTCTCCAGAACAGTTACAGAAAAGCCTGGAGATTACTTAACATCTTATATGTTAAGATGAGAACCTTAAACACTGTGCAATCTGTATGCAAATCTACTGTATGTAGTAACTCCCCCTAAACAATTAAATGCTCAAATGTTTGGTAAACTCTCCGGAATTCATCACTTCCGTGTGGGTTTGCTTAGTTTAATAAGACCTCTTCTTAATCAGCTCTTTCCCCAAAAACAAAACAAACTCCCTCTGAATAGTTTTTCTGCCCTTTTGAAATAATTACTAAGATTATTGCATCTCTGGTGTCTTTTTCTTTACTTTAAATTTACAAAAGATTGGTTGTGTCAGTTAACAACATTAGGAAAAGATAGGTTTCAGAGTAGCAGCCATGTTAGTCTGTATCCGCAAAAAGAAAAGGAGTATTTGTGGTACCTTAGAGACTAACAAATTTATTTGAACATAAGCTTTCATGAGCTACAGCTCACTTCATCAGATGCATGCAGTGGAAAATACAGTCCAGTACATGCATCCAATGAAGTGAGCTGTAGCTCACGAAAGCTTATGGTCAAATAAATTTGTTAGTCTCTAAGGTGCCACAAGTACTCCTTTTTTATTAGGAAAAGAGTTGCTCTGTTTACCTTCCAGAAGGCAGCTCTTCCTTTGCACATACAAAGTAAGTTGATTGGGACACAGCCGTTTTCACACACACAAGGCTGTATTCTGAGTTTTGTGCTATCATTTACACATTTATTTTTATCTCACCTGAACATCTACATAGCATTGTTTGCATAACAGTACGACATAAAAAAAAAAGCAACCCTTTCAGCCCCGTGAACGACTTGACCAGAGGGTAGCAGGTAAAAGGTGTTTTGCCAAATCTGACCAATGGACTTCAAATACTACAATAGAGATGAGCAGGCTTGTTGGGAATTATCCAGACTAGATGGCTTCTTCACCAGCCTGTCTATCTGAACAAATCCTGAGGCTCACATTAATTCAGCTGAGAAAACCATCTAAAAGCCTTCCTTCCTGTCTCTCACCTTTCCTTTCCAGCTGTGTAAACCAGGCCCTAGTTCCTCCAGGAAGGTCCCTACATCACTATCACCAGCTGCTCCAGTTCATGACACCATTTTATTCTGCAAACTGCAATCTTGATGTTGCACTTTCTAATGTCTCCCTCCAATGAGCAACACATTCTGGGGGATGTTAGAGCTGTGGCTGCACTGTGCATACACATGAAAGCCATAGAGAACTAGAGAAACCGGTCCTGGAGGATGCAGGAGTTTTTTTCAGTGACAGAGGTTAGGGGAGGATCTAAAAAAATCTAAATGTCACCTGAAATGGGAAAGAAGAGAAATATCAGGATCAGTTTCTCTTTTCATGAAGAGCTGATGCCATGAAAGGAGAAAGATGGGGGATATTAATACAAATGGACTAGGCATTTATATGGATGAGACCACTCACAGTTACATTATATGGCATAAATAAAAGTACACGAAATTTAAACCCCTGTGCCTCAGGGCATGAGCCAACCTCTTGCTGACAGCTTAGGAAGAAAACTTTCCCTGTGGGCAGGTTACTTCATAAATGTCCAGTAAGGGATTTCTTGCACCTTCCTCAGAAGCAACTAGTACTGGCCACTGTCAGAGACAGGATATTGAATGGGATGGATCACTAGTGTGGTCCAGTATAGCAATTCCTGGAAACTGTCATGAACTTTGATAGAACGTTCTCCACATCTGGGTAGGAAATGCACCATCATTTACCCTCAACAGACTCAGATTTCAGTATATATAAATTACAAATTAAAGGTGACTACAAAAAGGAACTGCTCTCTTGCCAGAGTTTTTTTTCTTTTTTAGATAGAAGTTCATGATGCAACCTGTAAAATCTGAAGCAGGCTGGTAGCGGGCTCCTGTGGCCCCAACCTGTTCGCATGTGCTATTGACTCCACTGGGTGATGCTAAGTGAATCTTCCTAACTCACAGTTACAGAAGTGTAATTTAATGAGTGTCATATTAAACTCCACCATGAATAGAAGAGAGGTGGGAGTGGTCGTCTGACAGAAAGGAGTTAGAATGCAAGACAGAGGGGAGTCCAGATATGGACTAAGAAGTCCTGCTGTAGGACCCCTAGGAGAAGCCAAGCCTGGGGAGAAAGTTTAGACTGAACTTTATAGTTACTGTCATAAAGCCGAAAGCCAGAAGGGAATGAGTGTAGGCTCTATACAGTATGCAGACTGCTTTACAGCAGGGTGGGAACAGCTCTTGCTTACAGCCTCCAGAAGGTATTTGTAACAGCACTAGGATAACTAACTTTCATGAAATTAAAGACTTTGGAAATCTCCCACTTTGGGGAAAAAACCACAACTGGCCTTTTTCTTGAACACAACTTGCAAGAAAGCACCTTGTGTTCTTAAACACTGCATAACGTCTCTCTTAGGGCTATTTTACAAGCCACTTCTGCATGTTTTTAAGGCAACTTTTAATGGAAAGTACAGGAATCAATAATGCTCTTATTTCTGCCTCACTTAGAACTTTGTTGATGGGGACGTACATACAAAAGCTACGGGTTAGACAGAGATTTTCTTTTCTGGGCCTGCCATTTTTGCAGGCTTGTATGTTCTGTGACTGTTGGCCAGTTTCATAACTTTCATTTATAGTGTCCTTCATGCAGACAGATCCCAAAGTACCTTACAGACAGCAAAACAGCAGCACAACATCCTCTTAATGCTGTGCTAGGTCATTCCTTCAGAGGGAAAAAGATGGCCTTGTTTGGACAATCCAGGGAAAGACACTCCTTGACTTAATTTTCCCTCCCCCTAGACCTGTGCAACATTCAGCCACCTAAGCCATTCATAATTTAGTGCAAGCAAATGAGATCAAAAGAGTTTACTATCTGGTGAGGAAGAACCAACTTACACACGTAATAAGTAAAGATCATAAAAAAGGACCATGACGGGGAGCTGTAGGGAGGAAATAGACACAAAATTGGTCAGTGTAACGGTGACAGATAAAGTGGATAAGACACCTATGTAAAGAAGTGGGGGATTAATGACTGAGGCAACCAAACATCCTCCCTCTGCAGGTACCATGAATGCAATTATACTTTAGAGCTTACACAAGAAAGATTCTTGCTGGCAGGTTCCCACCAGACCCAGGCCCCAATGAGCTGATACTTTAGGACCAACACACTGTGTTGTCAGTCTCATTTGCAGGCTGTAATAATCCCAGTGCAGAAGCCTAAAGAATGAATACACACATCAATCCCTTTCTCTCAACTCACTGGGACCCTTCCACTAAACTCATTCTGGCTCAGCTCCTCCTTCTCTCTCTCTTTCTCCTACTGGATCTGTTTTAAGAAACTATATCCACTCACAAGCCCTGGTCTACACTATGGGGTTAGGTTGAATTTAGCCACATTAGGTTGATTTTAAAATGGACACGTCCACACAACCAACCCCATTCAATCGATTTAAAGGGCTCTTAAAATTGACTTTTGTACTCCTCCCTGGCGAGGGGAGTAGCACTAAAATTGACCTTGCTGGGTCGAATTTGGGGTAGTGCAGACACAAATTGATGATATTGGCCTCCGGGAGCTATCCCAAAGTGCTCCATTGTGACCTCTCTGGACAGCACTTTGAACTCCGATGCACTAGCCAGGTACACAGGAAAAGCCCCAGGAACTTTTGATTTTCATTTCCTGTTTGGTCAGCGTGGCGAACTCAGCAGCACAGGTGACCATGCAGTCCCCCCAGAATCGTAGAGCATAGAATGTTTCTACGCTCCCCCTATCATCTCTGTCCCTGAGGTTATTGCAGATTAGAAGGCAAAAAAAAGCACTCGCAATGACATGTTTTCTGAGCTCATGCAGTCCTCCCGCACTGATAGGGCACAGCTTAATGCATGGAGGCATTCAGTGGCAGAGGCCAGGAAAGAATTAAGTGAGTGCGAAGAGCGGAGGCAGGCCGCGATACTGAGGCTAATGGGGGAACAAACGGACATGATGAAGCATCTGCTGGGGGAGAAAATGGACATGATGAAGCGTCTGTTGGAGCTGCAGGAAAGCCAACAAGAGCACAGACCCTCGCTGCATCCACTGTATAACCGCCTGCCCTCCTCCCCATGTTTCATAGCCTCCTCACTCAGATTCCCAAGAACGTGGGGTGAGGGGAGGCTCCGGGCACCGAGCCGAGCCACTCCACTCCAGAGGATGGCCCAAGCAACAGAAGGCTGTCGTTCAAACAGTTTGATTTTTTTTGTAGCTACAATGAGCAATGTGGCCTTGTCTTTCCCTCCTTCCCCAACCCCATCCAGGCCACCTTGTCCGTGATCTCTCTCTCTTTTTTTTTAAATTAATAAAGAAAGAATGCATGGTTTCAAAACAATAGTTACTTTATTTCAAAGGGGGGGGAGGGTGGTTGGCTTACAGGGAATTAAAAGGAGAAACACACACAAGTGTTACACCGAAGCCTGGCCAGTCATGAAACTGGTTTTCAAAGCCTCTCTGATGCACAGCGTGCCTTGCTGTGCACTTCTAATCGCCCTGGGGTCTGGCTGCTCAAAATCGGGTGCCATGCGATTTGCCTTAACCTCCCA